CTGAAAACATGAATGTCACCTCCATATTGTTACTTCTGGGTAAATTTTACCATGTAAAGTGATTGCCATACGGAATATAGTCGTTGCATAATATCATTAAAATTTCGCACTGCTTCTTAAACGGATGATTCCCAGTAATAAATTGCTTTCCAGAGGATGCCATATTTCGAAATCCCGATCAAACCTAGATCGTGTACCACCGTCAACAGATAATGTTCTCATTAAGATGTGAATTAATTCGCTAACCTGAGATGCTGTCTTGCTGTTAATTGCAGTTGGCACAAGGCTTGTTTTGGGCTGAAACTGGAGAATGATCACGGTAGGCGGAGGGTGCACTGCTCTGAAAGGAGCTGTTCAACGATGAAATATCCATGTTTGAGTAATTTTAACTATACAGTCTTCTCCGTCTCTGCAGTTTGGACTTGTGTCAGCGCCAGTAGCCTTCCCATCCCGCTGCAGGCGGAAGGCTTCGCGGAGGACTCGAGGCACTAAAAACATAGGCAGATTTACATTTCCTGGGTTATTTACGATAGAAGCAGTTTTCTATTAATAAATGCTTGTTTATGTCACAAATTCCGTATACTAAATTAAATTGCTTGGATAAATGATTAAGTAATTTTACAAAAACGCAAATGTGACTTCTCAACTGGTAAGGAGTCGCCTTTGCTTGTTAAATTTTAAGTGTGTTATTGCTTTGAAAGACATGGTCCAAATTCCAACCCTGTTCTCTTGTACCACCTGCATCGTTGTTTTATGCCTTCTGCGTGACTAAAATATTTTTTGAATTAATCTCACCCCTTAAGGAAATTAGTGCAAATAAGCGCCTAATATCCACGAAATTGATACCATTACTGCTCTACAGCACCAAATACAAATTGTACACATTTCTTCCCCTTCATTGCCATGATCAGTGACAGTATTTTGAATGGTTGAGTTAAGTTTCCTCTTCCTTGGCCCATTCCTCCATCATTTTGGATCAAACTTCACTTAAGATTGTTATTTGTTGATTTTATGAGAATGCCTAAATAAGTGGGCGAAATTTGGCTTACCTATTAATAACGTTGACTTTCTTGATTACAAAATAATGAAAAAGGATAAAGGCTGGGTGACACGAAATGAGAAAGTAAGAAGAAAGAGTAGATGTGTGGGAACAGCCCCGTAAAACTAGTTTAAATTTAATCTTTTGTTTTGGGCCTTGAGTAGTACGAAGCCAGTGCTTCGCTCCACCCTAAATGCGGATCGGGGACGGGATGAAATTGAAGATACAGTGATATCTACGAGATGCGCCAATAGTTTTACGACAAAAAGGTTAGTTGGTGGTACTTAAAGTAATGAGGATTGAAGGAGTGGAACCCGGGGGACGGGGGTCAAAAGGAGAAGAAAGTTATGTAGCAAGTTAACCGTACATCCGCGTGTTTAAGCATACCGATTCTCCAGATTTTCTTCGTAAGTTGTACACATGCTCAGCGAGAAAACCCCTTGGCTGTACGTGCATTCAACTAAGACTGATATACAAGTGCCTTTCACTGAATTCATGGTGAAGGATAATGGAAAATTTGTAACTAGTTTAGAAGCATATCACGATGGGTGAAGTAATGAAGAGATTTTAGATGGCGAAACCAACGCTCTAGTCAGCGCATCAACTCATAAGGAGTTTGAGTATGCCACTAGGTTCAAGCGTTCGGTGTTCCCCTGCCCTTGCTAATGCAATCACCTAAAGTTGGAAACTAAGGTACTGATTAGTCCACTTGGGAGCTCGATACGATCAAGACCACGGACAACCCAACTTCAATGCAAAGGAGTACCCTCCAAAGTGCTACTATAGGATCAATTCCGCCCATCTCGACTCACGATAAAGCAGATTTGCTGATATGCAGGGCTTAGGTGCATTTCCACATTGCATTCATACTAGTCAGCCGATATACATTAAACGTCTTTTTCTGGACATGAGTCTCCTCCATGCACCTAGACGGTGGAATAAACATGCTTTCGCATAGTAGTTTGAGAGCCTCTAGATTCCATAGAAATCTTGACAAATCTCTTCCCTTTATGCCTTTCTACAAAAGTCATGGAGCACTATAAAATGTCGCCTGAGAATCTTACATCCCTTTGGTGTGTAGCTTTTTAGGGATGGAGACTTCCGCCCACAATCATGGGCACCCTTCGGGTCGCTGAAGAAATGATTTTTCAGCAATGTTACAATTGCGTAAGAACTATCAACTCGTCAGTGCTGCCCTTTTCAACTGAAATGGGAGCGTAAAATAACACCCTAACTCACAAAATTTACGGTTCCGAACGTGGCCAACACAGATTTCTAGTTGCTCGAAAGTCAATCATTTACTTACGGCGATAAATTGTAGCGCTACTGTAATACATATGTTGTTTAAAATGTTCCTTTTAGGGAGGAGGCAGAGAGACTAAATGAACCTCATGACTGAGGAGCTGTCAACATCCCACAACCTCCCTAAGCTTATACCCACTCCCCCCATTTACTTTAAGCAATAAACATAACAAAACCAAATCGACCTGACCGGAGAAGAGAGGACCAACGATTCTCGTCCTAAAATACGCTAAATGCCGAACAAATATTAAGTGATTGCCTTTTTTGGTATGTCTGTTCGTAGGTTAAAATGTTCCTCAACATTAATTCGAGGGCTGTTATAAGACGTTTCTCTATTTAAGAGGCACAGATAACAAAATTTCATGAAACTCAATTAAGAACATAAATGCTATTCCTTCATCACTCATATCTCCACATTTTAAGGTGAGACAAGTAGCAGCCTTTGGAATCGCATTTTAACCGACAACTATAAAGACAAGTCCTAAATTCAGAATCAAATTTTTCACGCCATGTAAATATACCACATTCAAAGATTAAACAATTTTTAAGTTATGGCTGGGGATGTCTGCGACCCCAGAAATACGTTTCTGTTCGACTCTTTGATTGCTAATCTCGCTCACTCCTCTCTGATTGGCCAATGTCGGCTGAGGTGACCTCTCACTGTACCGTTAAACCATTCGAAGCACGTGTAACTGAAATCACCTACAAGCAACTCGGGGCACTCAACCGCCAGCAATCTCGGCTCTCAGTGAGTAAAGGCATCCACTCTGAAGTTCTTGTCTATCACTTACTGGTTTGGATGGAGGCCCCAATAGGATGCAGGAATCTTGAGCATGGCAATCCTACTCACACCACTGACTACCCAGTTTAATAACGTGGAAATGTATCCGAATCCTCTATAACTTACTCCAAACAGGAAGCCAATATCCAATGCATTCCTGGTTTTATTTTCCAATGCTCAAATGTCCTTATCTAACCGGCAGTCATGGTGACATATGAGCAGCATAGAAGGCTGTTTCTACTTAAGACGACCATAATCAATCCAATTGTGTGCCCTAAAGAGGTAACAAAAATGAAATTTTTTAGTTGAGGGTCCAGTGTGCACAATTTTGCTCACTTAGGCGCTCGGGTGATGAAATCTCGCACTCTGGTGTCCTCCCGGCTGAAAGCTAAGGAGGTTGCTTTCATACGATTGGCTGAACTTACAAAATAAAGGCATTTTTTTGGCTGTATTTTAACGCTAGGAGGCAATCAAAGCTGATTCTAATTTAATTTTATTTATACGAAGTTGCCACTAACTGTCCATTCCCAAGTAAAGTGGAAAATGGTGGCATACACATTCAACAACGTCTAGATGTATTACAGCCAGTGTTATTGTTTAGGCGGTTGAAGCCACGGGCATTTTCGCTTGCGATTTTATGACCAGTAGCTTCACATATTGTTCTTCTTCTTATAATCTCTTTGTTTAATTTTGATCATTTCACAAATTCCACTGCCTTTTCCCTGCCATTATTGCGTTACAATTGTTGCAATTGCTAAGAAACAATTTTTGTGTTATTTGTTTCAGAAAGACGCTTCCTTGTGTTGAAATGTTATTTTATGTTTAGTTCTTTTCTTTTGTCTGATATAATTATCCATTAGTGCGATGTGGCTTCCTTGCCTCGTCTTCGTTTAATCTTCATATTTGATGAAGGAAGTAGCTCCTTCACTCCTACACAAATTTTGATCATTCCGTAAAGCAGAATTCCATTTCAGGCATGCTACCCTTTGCGAAATAGCGTATTGAAATTAATTTGACGATTTGCCATAGAAGCGAAATGACACTGCAAATGAAGGAGAGTACAGTGCAAAACGAGCCTTGTTTATATCCTCTTTCGTAGTCTTTATAACTTTAGAACGGCGAGGTTGATCGGATTTGGGCATTTCCATTGTTCAGTGTCAATGGGGACAAATACAAGTTTAGGGCGACTGGGACACGGGGGTCTTCTCTGGTTTGGGTCAGCTGCCCAAGCAGGACAGTATTATCGGTCAAGACGTATCATTGGCATGGGATTGTATTCAAAGTAATTGTATTATGCCTACCTAAGGAAACGCATCCTCAAAACAACGGTGTGAATGTTTGCTTTTAATTCCGAGTCTCATTTTATGCCTATGTAACTGTAATTTCCTTCACGCTCGTCTATTTATCTTCCTGCCTCACAGTGTCTTCAGAAGTAGGTCGATCATTGAATTTGTTTTACTTGATAGGACTATGACTGAGATGTTTTACTCCATCATTTGCCATCTCTATGTTACCGGCTATCTCTTAATGTACACTTTATATCATCATGATATCCGAGTGCAGTATTTGTCCGCATTAGGAATATTGTGAGCGATTTTCTACGCCACTAGACAAAGTTTTTTCCCATTAATCAAGCATGAATAAAGCGTTCAAGCAATTGAATAAATAAAGGAAGGGAATCGCTCCATTTCAAAAAAATAATTTGTACCGAAATATCAGCTTACACAGTAGGCGCCTCGGAATAACGTTTAAATTTCTCTTCATTTCTTCCCTGTTCCATTTCGCTTAACCCCACAAATCGCATGAACACCTAAGATAAGGTCATGCCAAGCGTTGTTTATGATCTGTACATGCCCTTGAGAACGCGTCGAAGTGCCGAACTGAGGCCATCCTGGGGGGGGGGGGGGAATTATGAGTCACTCAAGCTACCTCCGCTATTATGTCCATTTGAAACTATGGCATTCGGCTTAGCATTCACCTCAGCATCAACATGCCTTTCGCTCTTGTCGGTGAGTGCCATGTATAGCTTCGGAATAGGGGGAAATATAGATGGCTAAGTGAGCTCTAATAAACACGCTTATGAATATTCTCGGTGGCTCCCAAAAGTAGCTCATTTGATTTCAAACACAAATTGATCCAAGAGATAATCCATCTGCAATATGTTGGGTGTTCGTTAAAATCCCGGTTTTGGTAAAGAGATTACTCAGGTGCTCCGCCATTGTACCTTCGCTGGGTGATGTGGCCTCCAGGTCATACCCCAAATGTCTGTTTAATCAACAAATGAAGCCTACCACTTTCCAAGTTTCGATGTCGAGGGCAGACCATTTGCCAATAACTGAGGTTAGGCTGTGTAGACTGCAGATTTGGTCGTCAGACATTTACTGTTGAAACACGCCGCAACAATTTCCCTAAAATCACTTTAACCCAGTAAACGCAGCCTTAACCTAACAGAAAACACCACTTGATAACAAAAACAATGGCATACCAAATTATGATGTTGACTAGGCTAAAATTTTAATTTATGAGGGTCTTCATCTTTACCGTATCCATTACCAAGTGCAATAAAACTTGAGCCTAAATAACTAATCATTTTGCCAAACTGAAAACCAATTTTATTACTTGTCTTCCACTTACCCTTAAAGCTGGTTAAGTTTATTGATATTTAAATTTACAGTATTCTTTAAATTGCTACCTTCAAGGCTATCGCTTGCGCAAACTGTCAATTGGTCGTTGACATTTTGTTACGTTTTAGTGCGTTCCTTGTGTCACATTGTTGACATGATGGAGTCCTTTGCTGATTTTGACAATGCCACAATTTTCGCCGTAAAAGCCCCAGTTGATGAAGAAGGAAAACCTATCGAACGCTGGGCTCCACTTGGTGCTAATGACAGCCCGGATCTTAGTACGGACGAAAATATATCCGTTTCTGATAGTACATCATCCGACAAGCTGCGAAGTAATACTGAAGAACACGAAAATTTAAATTCGTCTCTGCTGTTAATGACCTCGCATTTTGCTCAGGTTTGAATGAATTGTAGCTAATGTGTATTTGGGCCCTGTATTTCTTAACCAATTCAATGCACATGCTTTAGGCGGTAATTTGCTAGGGTTATAAGTTTTTTAGTACAAGCTAATAACACGTAGGTGTTTTGTGTGTGAGATTTTTGTCCAGATAATACTCTAAGATACACTTGTCAAATCGATAATGTTCAAATCCTCTACAACGCAATGCCTTGTTTTGGATTCTGCATCCTCCGGTTCTAATAATATTTTTTTTTCAAATCTTCTCATAGTTGTTTGGCGAAACTTTTATGCTAATTGGCCTTGAATTCATTGCTGTATAGTATATCTTGCTTATTAAACACTTTATTCTGATTATTCACCGTCTTACGTCACTGGCTTAGTGACCAACCTTCAGTTCTGCGCTGACTTTTTCAGTAAAGCGTAAAGTCTTTGTAAGTCCTCCGCAAAAATTTTTAGGTCCAATTTCGACTCGAGCAGGTACTTCAGGCTGACCCAGAAGAAAAGGAAATCCTTCTTAGAGACTTGGAACAGTTTGCTTGGAAGGGTGTACCGGATTTGCATGCATTACGACTAAACCAACCAGATTTTCAGGTTTAACTTTTTTTTAGTTAATTTAATTGGTCGTCAGTCTTGTGGTTTAAGGTGACTTATCATTGCTTGGGTTTGGATTTAGGCCTCTACTGAAGGATTGCGAGATGATCAACGAAAGAATAACATGTCTCACATGATTGATCAGTTAAAATCACAGCTGCATGACTTGGAACAGTTTGCATACAAGGTAAATATTCTTCATCGAATATTTCTGTGCATCCCAAACGTATGTCATGAAAATATCAAAATCTTCAAAGTACACTGACAAAAATGGGTCATACTTAGTTAAAAATGTGTATATTTGCGATATTTTCACTTGTCTATCATAAATGCCTTGAAGCTTTGGATAACTCTGAGTAGCTGCTGACTCATTGTTTATTGTCCTCTTTAAGTCCGGTGAAATTCAACAGCCGCCTACACAAAATGTGCTCGAGAAACAGAGGCTTGTTTTAGAGGAGTTAGGCAAGCATTTGGATCTCAACGTCTCCGAGTTCCCTTCTCTTTCTGCGAAAGAGATAAGGGAGCGCGTGAACGCTGGTCTTAATCAGGTTTGTTGAGTTCTGCCGGTCCTGGCAGTAATTAAAAGCAGTTGACTGCATCAAGGCCTTGCAAAGCATGTTAGCATGAACTGATAACACTGACTCAAGCACTTAAGCAAATATGTGATGTTGCGAGTTATTTGGCAGTCTTTCATTAAAGAGATTTCCATTCATTTTTCTATCTAATTAAATAAAAGTAAATTGATTCTATAACTTCGATCAAGTTTGAATAGCTACTTTTCGCAAGTTACATACACTTGCTCTTCAGTCACTCCGTTTTATTGAAAATGTTGCATCAAGCAACTAAAATATTTGTCATTATTTCATTTTTTCTGCACTTCGTAAGCTTAACAATTCGCTTTCTATAGCATTTATGTTGAATCGCATGTTAATGAGAAATTTTGATCTGGTCTATGGTCTAATCAACTTTGAAGCGGTCTTCCTTAATCTCTGGCGTTTATTTGCCTAATTACTAAGTAAGAATTTAATTGTCTTCGAAAATACAACGTAGCCTTTGATTTGTAGCTTACAAGGCCTATCAAAACGAAGGAGGCTTTGGTTGATCAACTGAAAACTCAGATACTTGATCTAGAGCGTTTCATTGACTTTCTTCATGGTATGTTTTCGCTTTTATTACTAGATTTGTCTATACCTAAAAACAAGTATTGCTGAACTTAATTTCTTCCGAAAATAATCCCATTCCCTTGTCAGCAATTCCTCGATTAACAGGTTAAATGGCTTTTTGGTAGATGAGGGGGCACCGAATTCGGTAATTGGCAAGGCTCTCGAGGCATTCAGACGATACCAGCAGGAGCAGCGGAGCAAAACTCCGACTATTCAACTTGAAAGGGAGGATGAGCATGGTTACGTGGAGGGAGGTTACCAAATTGGCCTTTCGCGTCGTCGACAGAATGCACAGGTGGCTACCTGAACTAAATGCACTGCTTGCCCTTCTTGCTTACTCGGATATATTTGGTTTGTTTTGTGTAGATATTTTACCGAAGCCCATACCAGTTTTTCCTCTCAATTTATTGTGCCTGCTAATCAAATTGGATAGGCATGTGGCTATTCCCTCCTTAAGCTTGGGCTTCCAAATTATCGGGAGTTGTAGTTACCCTATTTTAAAGCCATTTCCCTATTCATCTCATGACGGCACTTTTATTGAAGCCGTAAATATTGTACCAAAGTGATTAAAAGTGGGATTTATTTTGACAGAGTTGCGAAACCAACGACACAAAAGTGTGTGAATTTTCTAGACTGTCAAAAGTTTTCAATTTATTAATTATATTGACGGCAGTAGTTAAGTGCCTAAAATCCCCAAAAAGATTCATGCAGTAATGCTGATTCATTTGCTTCGGAACCTATTTCCAATCCCCTATTCCATTTAGTGTGTGCACACAATATGAAAGCAGATCTCACTAAGGGTTAAGCATCGTCACCATTTTCTGAAACAAAATTAGTATATTCTTGCCTTTACAAGTATTCTTCGCATACATCACTTGTGTCTGTTTGATTACTCATTTCATCATTTGGGTAGGCTATGCAGTGCAATTTTTGCATGACTGTCATGACTCCTTCAGTTTAATTATCTAAAGCTGTGAACCACCTTTTCCTCCCTCTCCATCAAATCGCACATGGCTCAGTAGTGTGCGTAGACTACACATTCCTCGTTTATGGTCACCGCTTACTCAACCTCCATTTTATACGCACGCAATGTATTCATTTGCAATCAAACATTGGTCATAATGCATTCATTGGGAGGGTTCAACTCTTCAGTATATCTCGTCAAAAACACTTATCTAAATTTGTCTTCGTTTTTTTTTTTTTAATTATAGGATTCATTCAATCAGTCGAAGGGATTTGTTTCAGAACCTGAAGGGCAGTTTGGAAATCAGGTAAACTTGCAAAATTTACCAACTTATTCCATTAAATAGCCAATTGGCTTTTAGTACATCTTTTAATGGTTTGATTTAATCGTAGGCTGTATTTGGGAGATGGCTACATTGCCATGTTGGAAAATCACGTACCCGCAATACTGACCAGTTTAGGCATCCTGAAAATTCCCACCAATCAGCTTTAAGCATGAGTCCGCGCCACCACCACCCCCTTTCAGACAGTGAACCTCATCAGCAGGCGAAGCTCGCGAGTCCTCGCAAGCTTCGCACAAGTGGGACTTAAACATTCTGTTCACTTAGTGCGTGTATAGATGAATGTTTAATGGGATGTTTTATTGATTTGGTAGGAGGTCTGACAATGATTCGTGAAGACTTTGAGTCCCTTGTGTTAACTGGATCATTGATGCATACTATTAGTTGGGATTCTTAGTTATGTAAAGATTACGACCGTTCTTCACCACGCTGACGAGATTATGCATAGGCTTATTAGCAAGTTATTGTTGTCACGAGATTTTTACTGGCCATTTGTACGAAATTCTAGTTCGATCATAAGCTTGTCAATTTTCGTCAATCTTGTCGACTTATATTTTGCTTGCAACGTACATTTCATAAATTATTTAAGCAAATAGACAATTTTGAGCTCTCACTGCATAAATATTTGCATAAAAGTGAGATGAAATGTTTTCTTATGTCTAAAAACGTAATGATCACCTTCTTAACAACGGTAATTTGAGGTCATAATACGACTGGTTTCCTGAGATCGCTACTTTATTCAAAAGTTAAACAATTCTTTTCACATGATCTCTGATTTGCCTATCGTGGCGAGTGAGACCGAACATTTTATTGTACAAATGAGTTAGTGCGGTACCGACTGAATCATTGGCTTGCAAACAGTCGTGTTATGCATCAACACTGATGACATTCCATTTGGATCGCACTTTGTAGAACATAAAACTTTTGTAAATCCACAAAACAGCATCTTTTGTGAATTTTACAAATTATCATAGCTAGATGGTTTGACACTTGCATGAAGGAGGCAAGTCCCTCAGATGCGTGCTCTAACATTACATTTTCCTTCCGCCCCTGTAATGCATTGACACAATTCTCAAGTGTCATTGAGTTCAGGTGGGTAGTGAATTCGTCAGATTGCCCTGCGTCACCAGCTCACTTGAAATTGGCCATTAGTCACCTTTCGTAACTGAACCATTTGAAAGTTTGTGTAAAAATCTTAAATTGTTTTTTTTTATTTGAATACATTTTCAGAAAATGGTGGGATTGATTACTCGAGCTCTGACAATGCTTCAGGTTTTCGCCACCATGCAGTTAGCAAATCGTCGTGCTAAGATGCGCCAACAAGCTGAAAGGTATGCCAAGTCGGCAGGCACACGAAAGAGTAAGTTTACCTCTGCAGCTCTTTTCTTTCAAGCTATGAGTGAATATTTAGGCGATTCGTGTGCGGGTTTCGTGTAAACAGGGAAGAGTACAACATCGGTGTGGGAATAATGAATTAAGTTTGAGTTTTTACCACTTTGATCTCTTCTCCTCTTGAGGAAAGTTACTTGATCAAATGATTAGTACTTTTATTGAGGCTAGAATGTGTTAACCTCCATCTAGTCTTAGATTGTCTGAAACCTCCGTCCCACGCATTATGTATGCTTCGTTTTTGAAACTATGCATAGTACTTTATTTATGAGTAGATTATTACCATCTTTTACTGACTATCCTTTCCTTTGATGTACAAGATGGAAGTCAAGTTACTGGTGCCAAAACGCATCACTGGGGTGACATTCGAGCGCGCCTGGAGATGGCTGTAGAGACTGTGTTGGAGAAGGCAGAGCGACTACGTCAGATTCGACAGGAACACAATCGACAACTCCAAACATCCGTCAATTCCTCTTCCATTTCATTGAATGAAGGAGCTCGACAACCGAGCGATAGTCGAGTTACTACTGAACGTTCCACAGTTAAGCTTCGAGATGTAAGTACTTTTCAACATATGGCAACATGCGCTGGAGATAACTTCAAAAATGAATGCTGAAAATGGACTTTAAATTCTGGGTAAATATTTCTTAAATGCTTGGTTTAAAATCCCGTAGTGCATGAGAACCTCTAAAAAGGCTGAACATTTCTTTAATGCACCGTTCTGCCATGGTGGTCGTGTCTTCAGACTCGAGTGTTAATGCTTTGGATTTCGATGAATCAACAAACCCCACAGCGTTCCTTCAAGGTGCAATCTCATCCTGTTGGGACCTGGAACTCGCCTAACGTCTACTTCTCTCATCATTAAGCTAATACTTGCTTGTGGGACAAATGTCTCTTTCTAATGTGGATAAAGTGTCCTTTGAATATTTTTGCAGTAAGCCACTTCAATGTCTGATCATCCGTCCTTGCGCATAGAACTCTCCGATGTCCTTTTTTGTTGTGATGAAATGAATGACTAAATTTAGATTAAGCTTTAGGTGAAAATAGTTTCAGTAGTCTGTTTGTTACCTCTTAAGTAAATATTAATGCTGGTTATGAACGTATGCTTTCATGGATTTTTTTCTTTAAAAGACAGTATTTTTACAATTAAGTATCAAAGTAGATGATAAATCCTAACTTTGCGTTTCTCTTTGGTCTATTTATTCGGCTATAGGAGGATTTGAATTTAGTACTTGGAAAAACGAATTGACATTATCAGCGTCTTGTGAGCCTTCTTTAAGTCAAGGGTGAACCTTTTTTATCATATTTACGTGCATATGTAACGTATTAAACGACAGACTTGGGAGTACCCGTATTTATCAAGGGAAATAACCCTATAATTGTCATTTGATTGCCGAAATCTCATTGAAGGTGGATAATATGAAGTGTGCTGGTAAAAAAATAAAAAATAGATAATAAGAACCAATGCGTTAACTGAACATGCAAAGAATTGACTCCAAAGTTGATAGGCATACCAACTACCTTGCAGCATCACTGACATACCGTAAAACAAGGTTAGATTCATTCAGGGCTTCCTCTCTTACTAAAATCTAGGTCGTACTTGTGAAACTCCTTAACTTACATACTTAGATTTTGTGAAGGAAGCATTCAGACTTACAGAAATGTAACCGAAAAATTTAACAATATATTAGAACTTTGTTGAGAAATAAAAACACTAGGTGGTAAATTTTGCAAAATTGAAAGCGGATCATAAAGTACACAGAAATTGCATGATTAAACTGGAACATCAAAATGAAATGCTATATTCCTTGAAATATCAGTAGTTTGACAGGCGATTTCATTCCCCTGCCTATTTGTTTTGGCCACATCGACAGCTGCTTGCTAGGTGATTTGGCGATTTCAACTCCACTCCCATTTCCTAGCATTCATGCTATTCCGATGGCTTATTCACTTTTCAAAAAGTTGTCACAATACACACATGAAATCTGTTCTTTTCTAATGAGGTGTAGAGTTATGCAGAACGCGATAAATTTAACAGATGACATCTGATTTGAGGTGTGCTTAGTGGTGAACCTCAAAAGTGTTGATATCACACGTATTTGTTGAACTGAATCATGTATTTTACTCTGATTTTCTGACAGCTCGAATTCGTAAAAGCCGAGAGAGATTTGAGTTTCGCAGTGCGTAAGCACTTCTGTCCAGCTCTTGAGGCTCTGATCGAGCACGGCTCGCGTCTACCCGTGTCTACAAGGGAACGAGGTGTTGATAGGCCCAAAACTTCCCTTCTGAGTTCCTTCCTCTCCCTACTGGGTTGTTTCTCTCGTAATCGTCCTGAGGTTCTCAGCTATCCAAGCAAATTTGTTGACGACAATGATGTTGAAGACGAAGAGGATGATAGTTATGATGAAGAGAATGAGGAAACAGGGACGAAGGACATAGGAAGGAATTATTACACTGAGTCGGAGGAGGAGAGGCGAGCTCGGGTACTGCGCAAGAGAGATGCTCAGAGCTCCGCTTGGGCCATATTCCTCAAGTACTATGTTCTGACGGTCAGTTAGTACTCAAGCTATCTAATTTGGATGCATGGATTAGTCTATTTTGTATTTAGTATCCTTGACTTAGAATTACACATTACATTAACACATGCTATCCAGCTATCCTCCAGAATTCTATGCTGTTCCATTCAGTTTGGACATGAATTTCATTGTCTCTTTTTACTAATAACGCTTTCGCTTGCATTTACTTTCGGCTCTGGTAAAATGACCGTTTAATTAGTTTGAAATGGTTTTAATTCAAGTACTTTTTGCTTTTGAATATTGGTGGGGCGAAATATTGTCTCAAGAACTTATCGAAAAAGACTAATTCTTTGGAAGACTGCAAACAATGAGCCCTTTACCAGGAGTAAAGTTCAGTTTATGTATTGTTTGAGGACCAGGTACTCACGAACCAAAAAGTTTTGTCATTTTTTGTAGAATGGACGAGCATTCAACGATACTCCTGCACGAAAGTTATCTGAGAGCTTCTCCCTGGATATCATTGGTGGTAAAGTCGTTACAGCGAAGCAGGTACACTTTTTGAAATGGTTGAAAACTTGACTCGGTTTACCCATTTGCTTGTGTTTTGTGCTTTGTATTTTGAGTACTTTGCAATTAAGGTGCTCCGTATTATATCGGTAATACAATAGCGTCTGACGCCTCCTACTGAAGCCGCATTAAGGCGCATGAATGCAGAAAAATGCATTTTTGCCAGTGTACTTAGGGACAATTTTGAAGGATCTTGTCACCAGTATGGAAGAGCAGTTGGCAGAGGACGAAGAATATGGGTACCTAAATGCACATTAAAACAAATGTCTAGTCGCTGCCTCACCCTCTTTTTTTTGGAGCTTTGTCTCTGATGCGCACCTCATAGTCAACTCTCACATTTGGCTGTAACGTGTTGCTGTTGTGAACTGCAATTAACCGGGACAAAAGGTCGAAGAGGCAATGGAGAATTTACTTTTCGGGTGGGGTGCTACGCACTACGTGCTTGGGATTTCTTTTATTGTGTTTTCTGCAAAAGGAACTGAATCGGGAAAAAAATTAACTTGGAGGATGATGCTCAAGACTGGACGATGTCTGAACGGCGTTGGGAGGGGCAATATCAGTAACTGAGAGAAATGTAGCCAACCTCTCAAAATCGTTCAATTCTTATCTCACTGTCCATTCGTAAAACTCGAAATTTTTTATTTTAGAAGGTGATCCGGTTTTAACCCTTCTGTAGTGGATTTCCACAGATTTAGATGTACATGGCTGTGGCGAACCCATGTATTTAATTGAACCTATTTCTGTATCGTCTTTAAGTAAAACTACTTATTGATGTGCTAAATTCAAACCAATCTAAACCGAGGAGTCGCTCACATGTCTCAGTATCCTTTTTAAGACGTTCCCTTATAGCATCTTCTGAGTTCCATGGGTACAATTATGCAAGAATTTGGCAAGTACAAGCGCAGCGAAGAAGCACAATTTAATGCATTAGTCTGTATTGGTCTCAAGTAAGTCAACTCTTACATTTTAGCCATCTACGGTGATGGTGATTGGTTAAGGTATGCCTTTATTTCTCAGTTCACGCCGACTAATTTCGTGGCTGAAGCTGGTTCTTCGAAGTCCACTTATTGTCCAGTACATGTACCACCCTTGGAGTTACGTAACTTCTACAGGTAGTGTTTTGTAACAGGGAGTAAAGAGTCCCGTTCTGATACACATGTACAACTGTATTTCGTGTACTTCTATCTCGTTTTTTTTGTAGGATTCGATGATGCGCTGCGATCACTCAATAAACTTTCCTCGGTGGAATTTGAATTGCCTTTTGACGCAAATATTCGTCACTTGCAGAGCATTAATGACGCCTTTTGATTGTTCACTCGCTACCTTGTCTATCCTCCAGATAGTTTCACTGATCTGATTTCAGGTTATTGAGGGTCTCTTCACGTGTGTTGTCGATGCGAAAGAAGTTGTTTTTGTATTGCCTACTTTGTCCGGAATACTCTCACGAGTTATTCCACTTCATCCCCTTTCCCCATCACTGTACTCCATCTCCGATATTATCCTAAGTAGGGAACTATTGCGTGTGCATATTTATGTGTGGAATTTCCAGATTTTGCCGAGTATTTCCAGTCGTTGCACAGAGTGCCATTACTCCATCTCTTGTGATGTGCATATTTTCGCATTTATCTCATTTTTATTGACTGCATAAAGCCAATGTCTGGTTCTGGCTGGTGTATTTCTCGGGTCGTATGGAGGTTGAGGTTTGCAGTTTCAGAGCCGCAAGTCCTGTAGTCGGTCGCCTTGATCGGAAGTGCTTGGGTTTGGGATCACGGCCGTTACATCTAGTGGGGTTCCATGCGAGTGTATTGAGGTCTATCTCTTGTTTGGGGATCCGGAAGGTGTCTATCCAGACCCCAAAAGGTCATTATGTGACAATTCAGTCTGCCAATAGACTGCACAAAATCCTGCTATAATGTGTCACACTTGCGGGAATATTAGCAATGTCTCGTGAAGATATGCTTGAAATTAGATTAGGGAATATAACTCATAATCAAATCTTTTTTGGGCGCAAGATGTGTAAAATTGTTTGAAAGCCAGGCAAAAAGAACGAGGATTTATTCATGTGGTCATAAAGTTAAGTAAATACGTGTAAACCTAAGGAACACAATGAAGTTTCATGTGTGTTGAAGTGTAAATAAGACTAACCGAAATATTTTTCAGTTTAAAATTTTACCTTGTCTATACTTTTCTAGCAATGAATTTCCTTCCCACTAAATGCAATTTCTATACGCAAGGCAACAGCATCTCCGATAATGACCTTTTACTTGCGGCCAGTTTCAAAAATATTAGAATGTGCCGTTGCTGCAGCAACGTATGATGCCGGTTGCATTTAAAAAGAAACCCATAGATGTAAGTAACGTTAGTAAATGAAGCAGTGGAAGCATTATAGCCTCTACAGAGGAGGATTCCGAAAAACCCGCGTTATGATGACATACTTGCAACAGTGGATTCAGGAGCGAGTCTATCAAGTTATCTGAGAAGATTGGATGAAGCTAACGAAAGTACCTCACTATTTTGATCCACACTTAAGATTTTAAAATAAAGCCTGGGGAGATTTTTCGAAGAATGAAGATGACGACATTTGTCCAACTACTTATTCAGGTAGCTGGCGTGAATGGAACTCAGGGGCGACAAGAATTCCACCCTAATGGTGGTGGCCTTTTTGTTGGTAACTTTGCGACTTTACACTAAAATGTATTAAGACGAGTTCAAAAATACAAACGAATGCACAAAGTCAAGCGATCAACCTGGTTCTCGGGCAGCAATATTTTATACCCTGGGATCGTGTGTAGCTCCCATACTTCCACTTTTATACTGTTACTTTTTGGTTTTTAAAGCACATCAAACATGAAGCCTTAATATTGTGTTAGGTTTATAAGTAGCTCTTCTTATTTTGGCTCTTCCCATTATTCTGACGTCATATACAAGAAAGAGTTGTATAAGTTACTGTAAAATTTTCTAGTCAAGAGGACTTAACTATAAAAATGTTCTTAAGTCAAGTTGTAATATAACGTTTGTGGTAGTTTACTCAAATATTAAAATAAAGTTTTTTTAGATTTGTGCTTCAGCATAGCTTTGAACATTCTTTTAAAGGGTTATTCACGGAATTGGTGAGTGTGAGATCAATAGAGATAAAGAACTCTCCCCGGACAGACCAACCAATACTACGGAGGAAAAGAGTGATTGCCCTTACCTTTTACTCGATGTCCGAGACAGGGATGAGTTTGACCAATGCCATATCATCAAGGGTAGTTGTTACCCTCTGCCACCTCACATTATGCGTAGCCAAATTATCAAATCAAAAATATCAGGCTTTAATTCTTTTAGCTATCAGCTATCCCCATACAATGCTTTCGCGCTGTATTAACTTTGAGATCCGCCAGATGTTGGCCTTTCGGAACAAGCCGGGCCATATAATAATCTGCTATGACGAAGATGAACGGCTTGCTCCTCGTGTTGCAACAATGCTAACGGAGCGTGGCTATGAAAACATATTTGTCCTTTCTGGTGGTTTAAAGGTGAGCTATCCAGATGCCTGAGGGTAGTATACGTCACCTTCGCAGTAGGATTGTGCTAAGCTGGGTTCCCATTTGCTTGGTTAGGTGGGTTGGAAACTCTTTCCCAAGGGTCTCATCCTTGGCGATGCGCCAGTAACCCTAAAAAACAAGCCAGGCAAGCGGCCACAATATGAGAAGAATATCCTCCGTCTCTCGACGGCTTCGGCGCTTAATTCAGCACCATCAATCTGCAACTCTGCAGCTTCCAGTGCGCGTGGTTCTACCGTCGGTAGTCGTTGCACTACCTCAAGCGCTCGTCGAGCTGTTCAGTGCACTTTTGATACCTACGAGGTGGTGGGATCCAGGGGTACACCTAACGGAGGAGAAGATTTTTCCATGATCGATTTGGAGCATCTTTCTCTAGCTCTCGATTCTCTCTGTGCTAACTGTCAGTGGCTATTCTATTGTGTTCCTTTTATGACAATAGCGCTGTGCCTCCAATATGACAGATTTATCCAAAGTCAGTCCACATACTATAACTTGAATCTCCTGTGTTTGATGGAGGTTAAAATCACTATTCACGTATTCTATTGATAAGTTGTTTTAGGTTAACAGTCATTACGGAGTTGGACCTAACTCACCTAACTATCATTCTGCTTAAAATCGGAAATAAAGTTTAATGAGTTGCATACACATGGAGAATTCATAGTCCTTCTCTTCCAGGTCGGGCGAACAGAAGCTCAAGAATCAGCACAGCTGAGTCAGTGCGTTCTCGAGCATCGAGTGCCTCGACGCTGGGGAATTCCAAGTGACAATGGCTTTGCACACTTCTTCCCCGAACTATTGTTACCAATTTTTCCAGCTTACATTGCTTAGGCTTAGCGCCATACTCAATGCTAGGGATTATTCTTCCTACGCACGATTCTTGTCTAAATTCACAGTTAAATAAATGTATGAAATGTGTCGAGCGTACCTTCCAGTCTTGATGGACAATGTGGTTAAGACTTTACTAAATGGTCAAGCCATTAGCTGAAACAGTTGGACGAAGAAAGGGAACGTGCCTCTTTGTGCCACTAATTCCAATGTTTGCAGTGTCACCCCCGGCATAACTCCATCTTGAAAGCAAAGTTCCATTGCCAAGTTCTGCCTCAAGACAAACTAATAACAAAAACAATATCTCCAATTAATGATAGCCAGAATATTAACGAGTCCCGCAAAACTGCAATTACAGATGTCTCTTTGAATAATAGACTTAATTCAGTCTGAAAAAGGTGTGAACCACATAATTTTCGATGAAAGGCGAAATATACGAATGAGGTGAACAATAATTTCATAAATTGGAGAAAAAAGTAAAACAAGAAATAATCAGTTTGGAGTGGGTAGGAAAGCAGAGATGAGGTCGCGCAGTTGATTAGAGGAGACGCGGATAGCACGATTCATCGTCACAATGTCACCACCGATGGTATCGGAACCGCCGCCACGAGGAAGTGTGATGCGTCCCAGAAGACGACGCGCATCTGGTGTCTCCTCCAGACCTAACTTATGCGCTGTTCGTGATGATGCGAAGCTGGCAAAATCAGCCTTCACTGTGCCACAGCCTGGTTTTGATTTGACGTAGGCGAGGAGATCATCTTGAGCCTGTACAAAAACAGTAACAGAATGCTTTAATTGTTCATTCCAAAGTAACCCGAAACCCCAAAGATACAAACATGAATGATCTGATTTATAATGATAAGCTAACAGGAGGTTTGACAGTCGTTGCACTGTCAATGCTGAGGAGGAGGTGTGCGAGAGGACGATTTAACCACTTTAGTAATGAGCTGTCACCCAGAAAGAAAGATTGACAAAAGTTATAAACCACACCAAAGAGAAGTCCTTTTCGCGGAATCACCTATGGATTACTTAGACTTAAAAAAGACGAAGGTGATGTGATGGGAATATGGAGTTTTGGACGTTCAGCAGACAAGTTCAATTCACATCTTCCAGATTCTACTGATATTTGATGAAAGGAAGCTCCAAAAAGGGGGGAAGAGTTTCGGGTGCAGTAAGAGTTGTCATATCGATAGTCCAAGGTGTCTCCAAACTTTACATCGATATGTAAAATCAAATGCATTTTTCAAGTGTCTAGGAGTTAAAAGAGTAGTTGTAAGGAGAAAATCAACAAGCTACTTGCTAACAAATTCTGCTCTGAGCAGAAAGTTCATAAAAGAATATTCCTTATTACCTTAAAATCGCGTCCTTATCATTTGAAATTTTCAAACGGTTGAAATGAGACTAATAAGAGGTAACGAAGAGACAACTACATACGCAGATTACTACCGTAATGTTCACATTACTCATGAATGATAGTACTCACGTAACAATGTGACCATCATCGAGATGGACTAAATCGAAAGAGTTACTGGAAGATAGACATCGTCAAGCGATAAATGGTAATACAGGGAAGCCTCAAACCTTTTCAAGGTCACGCTTGACCTGCAGTAGACACTCTGATTGGCGAATCAGTTGCGCCTCGGCCGTATCACAGGCACTATGAGAAGCGGCACCAGCGAAGTCGGGCAGTCGAACGAGTTGAGTGGTGGAGAGGACATCGTGGTACCTCGAGACCGCCAATTTTACGCGACGGGTCAGTTCAGTAAGACTGGGCACTCCTGCGTTCTTCGTCTCCGCCTCCTCCACCTCCATAGTCTTTTCATCAAATTTTTTTTGAATGCGGTAAGGGAATCGTAGTGGTTGTAGCGACATCACCTCCTCCTATTGTAAAGTGTGGAAGAAAACTGGAAAGAACTGATTCAGTGGGAAGAAATGTGGGAGAAAGCATAAGTTGCTTTTCCTATTGACAACAGAGAAGTATCGGAAGATGTGTGAATGGAAGTGAATAGAATGATTCACTGTGAAGAAATGGATGGAGAGCAGTAATCGAGAATAACGAAGGCAGAATTTGCGCGGGCAGCAAACCAGACTAGTAAACAACGATGGAAACTGTCTTTAGTAGCAAACAGTTTCATTGTTTACTTTTGCAAGGCATGGAAACAAGAAGCGAAGGCAAGGTGAATAAACTAGTTCAGTGAAGATAGAAGTGACAGATCAAAGTAATAATTATCAGAACAGTGGATTCTGACAGCGATGATCAAAAAATTAAAGTGACTTTTAAGTAACATTATCTCTTCTTGTTTTTGAAGCACGAGGAAAAAGTATGGATATGATAGATCCAATGAAGATAGAAATTTGGAAGAGCTGCATCTCCTTTAAAAAATTGAAAACGATGTTGTCACAACACAAGTATAAAGAATGGGAGACACAACACGATTGAAGGTTATAAGGCGAGTGGATAGCTTGCAAAACTGTCGTTTTAAAAGTATTTTTAAAATAAAGGAAAGTTTATTGTTACCACATTACCCTATAATATGGTTGCAAGTTTCCTGAAAAAACCACTAGAAGAGATGTTGACTCCATAGGTTTCTGTCATCCAAACATTCACATTAATTGAGGACTGAGGAAGTAAGAACCTACATGTAATTTGTGACCTCGTAATTTCATATTCTCCGACGCCAGATATCTCACTGCCTCACGTAGCACTTCAATCTGAAATAGGTGGAAAAACTGCCTTAAGTTTACATATGTACATTTTAGTAATGTTAAATGATGAGTAATTATACCTCAGAAAGACAAGTTGAGATGTCCCTATAGGCAGACAGCTTTGAGGCCAGAGACTTCGGACCTGGACTAACCGGTGCACAAATTTCTTCAGTGTTCAGTTCTCTCGGTGAGGGACCTGCAAATAGGGATGGTAAGAGTGGAAATGGGATTCACTTTAGCCATATGTATTGCCTAAATTTACTTGACGGTTTCCCAAGACCAAAACCCATGGCTGATTTGTTCATCGTTCGTAACCCCTCCTTCAAGTCAGCGTTCTCCTTCTTCAAGTTCTCCAAATCATTCTGCATTCCGTCGATTGTCTGGTCGTATTCCCTACACACACACGGACATAATACAGGGTCGGCATAAAATATGCACGAATATTGCAAATTCAACACACTTTTCAGTCTGCTTCTGTTGATTGTGCATCTTTTGTAGACGATCCTCCAACTCCACAATCTTCTCCAGATTCCCTCTGCCCGAGGTCTCAAGTTTCTTCTCTACCATGTTGATGCGAACAGTCATCTC